CATCTTTCTATAGTTACACGAACGACGCTTCACTCAGCAACTGCAAGAACTCATTTCTAAGTCACTGGCGTCCTGTTTAGAATTCACCTGAAAGTGTTATTGTGTTAGTCTTTTCTCAAAGCGTCTCCTCCCCCCCCCCTCCGATAACTTTAGCTGGTAAGTGCATAAAGCCAGGACAAATTTGGCTTGCGGAACTGGCTGGTCTTTGAAAGCCTTTCCTTCTATTTAAAAAAAGAAGAGGAAAAAGATTAAATAAATTGAAAGTTCGTATCGTAGGTATTTATTGAGAGAAAAGGAAGTGGAATACGCGGTTAAGAAATGGGTCAAGAAGAGATAGCAATTTGTTCCAGAAAAGGAGAGAACAAGCAACTCTTTTTTCCATGCTCTCCCCACCAAAAAATAATAAAACAATAGATAAAATAAAAAGATCAATAAAAAAAACATAAATAAATTCGTACATAGATGAAAAAAGAAGAATATCCACTCATTCCGAGGCCAGTTGATGATACTATTCATTCATTTTCATCACTTTTTCTAATGATTAATCCTATGTGCACAGATGTGATAACAATACCTTCACCCACCGGTTAATAGCATGAAGAATGGCGACCTACCCGACAACTTAGAAACAACAAACATTCATGTATATTGATTTATGCATAATTAGATATAGATATAACTGTGATTCTCTATAAGTCTCTTTCCCTTCCACTTCAAAATGTCCTAATTATTCGTTCAGATTTCGTGTACGAATTCCATTCATCAAAACAGTGATATTATTCATATATTATAACCATTGCCATTCTGACACAATAATAAACATCATAATGAAAATGAGTTGGAATAAATGAAACAATTAAAAATGGTTAATTTCCCTTGAAAATCTCTCCGCATTCAATGTATTTTTTGCTGTTTTTTTTTTCTTTTTTTTTTTTTTTTTTTTTTTTTTTTTTTTAGGTAACAGTTCTACCATAACGACCGCAAATTTCAAAGCCGTGTGATTAACGTCTTAATATTACAATTAAAAGATTGAGAACTGACGTAACCAACAGACAGTAACCAGAAAACAAACGAGATATGATCATAGATAGATATCTGAATTGAAAATTATAATTCTGGGGCCAGATTTACTAATTGGAGGGAAGGTGGGGGGGGGGCGGGGTGGAAGCATTGCGAGGGGGGGGGGGGGGGCAAAACCTCCCGAGGTTGTAAATCTAATCAAAAAGACTTGAGATTTCATTTTATTAGACGTAAGGCTAATGAAATGAAACTTTAATTAGCAAAGGTGTGTTGAAATTTTGGATTGTTGGAATATAATAGGGAAATGTTGATAATGATGAATGTTTATAGACATTTTTTTAATTATTTATTTATTTATTTATTTATTGGGGGGGGTGTCACAGAATACCTTCGCGAAGATTTTTGTATGGATGGATTCCTCTCACTCTCTACTACACTTCTATGCAAAAAGTATGCCCCGGACACCCCCCCCCCTCTCCCCCAAACCCCTTTACTCTTAGCCTCTATAGCAGTGGAGGATTCTTTGTCTTCCATTGCGTGGGTTTACCAACTTTTTTTTTCTTCTTTCCTCTTTTAATCCTTCTTTCTTCCTTTCTGTTCATCTTTTCTCTCCTTTTCTGTGAATTCTCTTTACCTTAAAAACGTTTCACAGGATTTCCAAATATATCCCACAGTTTTTTTCTTTCTTTCTTTCTTTCTCTCGTTCTTTCTTTTCATATCTATTAAACATTCAAATACTTTGCAATTCTTTCTTCGTATAAACATCCTTTCACTTCACCAAAAGAAAATAACCAACCTCTTAGCTTCTATACCTAAAACAAATAAACATCGATAGAGTCACAAACAGAATTCATCTTTGTGCCTTCTCGTGGCCCTTCTTACGAGACGAAAAACATGAACAAAGCAGAAATAACCGGGTTTGTATTATTATTACTATCATTATTATTATTACTATTATTATTGTTGTTGTTGTTATTATGATTATAATCATTATTGTTGTTGTTGTTATTATAATTATAATAATTATTATTATTATCATCATTATTATTATTATCATTATTATTATTATTATCATTATTATCATTATTATTATTATATATTATTATTTATTATTATTATTGTTATTATTGTATTATTATTATTATTATTCGGCTATTAAGTCACATCCCCGACCGTTGCTCCGTGCCGCTCGTCCAACATAAGGGATATCACTTGCATTGATTTCAGCGAGTAAATATTTTATGCTAATTTTAAGCTCATTTACATGTATCAGTGGCGTTTAGTGAACAGCCATCTCCTTGACTGTATGCCCCAAAGACCCAAGTATAAGGCCTGATACCGAGAAATATTACGAGAAAGGGAGATATTTTGATCACGTGAACACTGGCGATAGATGGAGTAAACATTTAGATTTAGATGTGAATTTCAAAATCACTTTTTGATTTCCTTCTCTGATTGGATGACACGTCCCCCCCCCCCC